CCTACGACTTTTGATTACTGAGTTATCGCGGATTAAATAAAAGAATTATTTTGACTTTAATTGCTCATAACTCCCTTAAAAATTGTCGTATCGTATAATTTAAAAAAGATTTTTAAAGCTGAAACTTTACTCTATCAAGATATATTTATATTGTTGGTAAGAAAGTAATTGCGGTTTTTACTGATAGATGTCTTTTAAAAAAACGCGATGACTTTTTACCTAACCTAATATATATATATCTCTCTTTTCTCTTTACAATCATGTAAATAATTTTCACATGGACAAATGTCGGACAAACAGAAATGTTTATCCGAAATGTTTATATATAAATGAATAAATATATATCTATAAATATATTTATATAAATACAATATAATGTATATATAATATATAAATATATTTATACATATGTGTTCTATATGTATGTAACAGCGCATATATGAAGATATAATAGTAGTGCGAAACAATGCATATACGTCTAAGATTGGAGAAGTTTATATATCGTTTCGCGTGTATAAAACATGTAAAATTTTAGAAATTAGAGCTGTTTTATTATATAAGTTGTTATATGAAGAATACATGAAATAATGAATGTTGTAAATATAGACTTATTTAGTTATTAAGACAGTACGTATACTATTCTTTCAACATCCAATAAAAAATACAATCTGTTGAAAATAAATTTTTTTTTTAGACACTAATCATTGATATATCTAATTTGGACACACCAATATTTATAGATTTAATTGTATTTAATTAGAGTAAGAATTCTATCAACAATATTAAATTTAGAACATTTGAAATTCATCAACAAAGATACATTTTATGGCAAATCATTATTACGTTATTCAACTGCCTACAGATTGCAGAATAAAAGAAAATATCTTTTAATTTTATTGAAAAGGAAAATATATATAGAAAAATATATAGCTTACATATAAAACTTTTTATTGGAAAAATATTATATCGTCTGCTATGATAGATGTAGCAAGAACATTTCTTCCTTCTGCATCTTTAAATTCACTGTAGCTTATCCTACCATTTATCATTATTCGTTGACCTTTCTTTAAATATTTATATGCAATTTCCCTTAAATTAGGTTTAAAAACACATATCTTGTGCCAGTCTGTTCTTTGCATAAATTCACCTGGAAATAAAAAAATACTCCAATATAATTATTCCTATAACATTATTGCATACTTTTCCAAAATTAGGTTAGGATTGATATATGTACCTGATTCGTATTTATAATTTGTATGTGTTGCAAGGGAAAATAATACAACTGGATGCTCAGAGCCACGTTTCTGAGGATCTGCTCCAACCCTTCCAAGTAATGTTACATTATTTACACCTATAAATAAAAAGAAAACTATCTTAAAAATAATAGCATTAAATTTCTATTATATGCATAAAAGTAGAAATGAAAATGGTTTAATTATAAATATTCTCTCTTAGAGTTGCAAATAATTCCCTAATGGCATTGAATATTTACACTTTTCTATAGTTGCAGCCTCATTAATTTCTTCCGCAAAGTGTCGTACATTGTTTAACCGGGCAACTTGGTTGCGTACTTGTAAAATAACCTAAAAAAATAACGCATAAGCACTTTGTTATTCATGTGTTTCATTCTAAAATGATTTCATATCTTATTTGTGTAGAATGACGGCTGTAATACTCACTGTGCGAAACATTGTGACAATTCCAGTATAACTTATTTATTATCAGTAAAATTTTAAGTAAATGGATAATAATGCGGTAAAGGTTGTATAAACTATATACAGAGAGAAGTCTGAGAGAGGATATGACAGCCCAAAACCTGTAATCGCAAAATGCTGCCGCGCACTGCCCTCTGACAAAGTGAATGTAAACTGCATAGCAACATTCACTTTTCTTAGGATACATCGTCCATTTTTCAAGGCTGAAGATGTATAAATCGATATTCAGTTCATATAATCGTGTTATATGTAGCACTTTCTCTCCCTTTCGGATCTTGCATCATTTATTTGAATTTTTCATCTCCGCATGCTTTGAGACGAGATTCAACAATGAATCGTTCGAATCGTTAAAAATACGTATATGGGCCTTGAATTTTATCGGATGATAATCGATTTAGTAATTTTAAATTTATTTTTAAATTAAAATTTTGTTCGCATATATAGTAATATTTATATTAAGAAATTTATTAGTTCCTAGTTTTACAATGTTCAAGTCTTTTTAAATCAAAACGTTGTTGACTTAAAGATTTTTTTAATTTAGATTTATTTTTAGTCGTATATCTATATTTTTAATTTTGAATAAACGCGGCATTTGTGTGTGTGTGTGTGTGTGTTCGTATACTAATGGAATTATTATTATTATTATTGATAATTATTATAATTGATAAATGTTCATATTAATATTTAATCAATTTCATTAATATGATGGCTCTTTCGCGACGCGTTTGTGTTTCGCGCATCGTATAAAAACGGAAAATCTTACGTTTATTGCCAGCGATGTCAGTCGGCAGCACTCGAAGTATTTCTCATTGTTGTCGATTTCTGAAATAAAAATTGATTTAATAAAAGAATATATTTAACTTATATGTAACATCCAAAAATGTGACCGATCTTGGCTTTCTTTATCGTATTTAATGTATTACTAGATTAAAATAATAACTTGATTAAGTGGTTCATGGGTAAATCAATGTCTGAAGATCATATAAAAACAAAATGTATATCACAAAACAATAATAACACTGTTTAAGAGCCACTAGAAGGCAAGAGATCAAGTGATGCATATATGGCTCGCGGTACCGCAAAGAGTTATGCATCTATATTATCATTTTTATTATAATTTGAACAGCATTTATAATTGTATTTATTTTTTATTACATATAAAATACGTACATGTTTTATTAAAAAAGCGTACATATGATAATCTGTATGTAGGTACTTTATCTGCATACCTGTGTGTTTTTTATTCAGTTACTATTATTTATTAATAAAATAGTGTAGGCACGTATTATGAGTATATTTATTTAATAAAACGTTAATAAAATAATTAAACTAGTAGAATGCGCTGAGATTAACATTCATCAGAATTTGGATAATGTTGTGTATGTCTAAAAGTACTCGTCGTAGTCCGTTGAATTCAACTAAAAAATATTAAACAAATCTTTATAATATATATGCTATAATTCTTATAATATAGTATAATCTACCAAACATTATAGCTGTAAAATCTCGAATCTTGTCATAACAACTATAAATGTTTGATTTAATCAAAATGCATTTAATTATATACGTTGTCATCAAAATATATTTTTCATGCATTAAAGAAGTGGTTTATTATGGATTATACATATATCGTCATACCAATATTAAAGTCATCAAGAAGGCCAAAGCTGCACTATAGAACTGAAAAAATATATGCTTTCATTATACATAATAAAAATACTTATGTTAAATTAAAAACAATCAATACAAAAAACTTTGAATATGTAAATTAACAATGAAAAATATAAAAATGCAGTTAATTAAAAAATGGCTCCAATATTATAAATGCCATTTAGATATTTATGTAATTTCCAAAATTGAATGTAGAAGTATACAATTCTATTCTATATACATTATATTCTGTTACATGTATACATTCTATTACAAATATGCTTATACTTTCAATTAATATTGGACGTACCTGACAAACAAAATCATATCCAAAGTGGAAAAGCCCAATGCCAAATTTTACCTTTCTTTGCTTTATTTGCAAAATAAATTGAAAAATCTAATTAAAATAAACAATTGAATAAACGTTAGTTGTATACTACCTTTCATGAAAGTTCAGACATTAGCATAAATTCTATCAAATGGCCATATAAAAAATTAGGACATTACTATAAAACATCAATTATGTTAGATTGTTAGAAATCAAAGGAGCAATACAATTCTTTAAGTTAAATAACATTTTGTCATTTTTAATTTCAACATGCGTCAAAATCAATCAACTTTTCAGTTTTAAAATGTAAACAACGTTCATATTAATAATTAAATTTGAAACAAACTTAATTATTAATGTGAACGTTGTTTATATTTTAAAACTGTAAAATGTATTTTCTTAAGTTACATTATACAACTCCATTGTTTTAGTTAAGTTTACGGCATATTGATCATAAATGTTGTACTGAATTTTGTAGCACTAGTTTTATGCCTTACTACGCTGTAAAATAAATGTATTGAATTTTATAATACATTCAGTTTTAATTTTGTAATACATCCAGCCTTTCAAATATATGATATAATTGTTTTGATTGATTTTTTTGCGTTTTTTTGCAAGCGAGTATATTTACAAAGAATAGAGGACACTGATAAAATCGACGGAGATGATGGAAGGCCTTTAATTTGTTTCTGCTAAATAAAACCTTAAATATATGACAGTATATAATTGGAAAATTTCTAAGTGTATTCAATGGTTTTATAATATTATTTCGAAATTTATTTCGAAAACTACTTTTTGACTTTATATATATATTTACAGATCTATTTTATGTTGAATACTTTATCATCCATACAATAATTTGATTTTTTAGTAGCCGAATAAATGTTGCTATATAGATTCTGACAATTTTATGCAATTTACCAAATTTTTTGCAACATATTTATTTATTATTAATTATACGATCCTTATTTATTATGTTAATTTTTCTTTTTTTATATTCTATCAAATTAACAGAGAAAAAATGGTACTGGATACTATATTTATTAACAAGTTTATTTAGTACTTGACTTAATATCCATCCAATACATCTATTGAATCTTAAATTAATACAATATAAAATTAATATAATTTGAAGTTCAACAGTTGGATGAAAATATAAAATTATAGAAGTTCTTGCCCACCTCCAAAAATGAACAAGCATGCAATAGAAAGTACATTTCTTTTCTTTCTAATTAGGTGAATTAAACAGAGACACGGTGTTTATTTTTTACTCGCTCTATTCCAATGACTTTTTCAGAAACTAATAATGTGTTAATAAGACGTATGAAAGTTTACAATTGTGCCGTCGATTCGTTCACTTATTAATCGTCTTCTTCACGAACGCCTCCCGCTGGAACTTTCGGACCGCCCGCTCGCTTTGCCATAATGATTTGGTCTACATTGAGAACCGCACACGCCGCACCGACCGCATATTTGATCGCCCATTGCTTTGTCAGATACAAATCCAAGATTCCAGTCTCGATGGTATCGATCAAAGCTGCGCTCTCACCCTGCAAAAAGAAATATAGAATTAAAGTAATCATCCATATAGACGTCATAGATTTCAAGAAAGACAATTCTAAAATCACCATAAGAGTTAAAATAGAAGGGAAAGAGGAAGGCAGGAAGGAAGGGAGGAAAGGAAAGAGAAGGAAAGGGACGACAGAGAGAAAGAAAGAGAGAAACATACATCGATATCAAAACCGTAGTTCTTCTTTCCTTCCTTGTGTGCTGCATACAATTTCGATACGAGTTCAGACGCGCGTACACCGCTGCTCTCGGCCAGCGTTTTCGGGAATATCTCTAAGGCAGTGGCGAATTTGCGTGCGGCATACTGCTCGAGACCAGGTAGCGTATCTGCATACGCCGCCAGCTGTGCAGCAAGCTCGATCTCCGTAGCACCTGCACCAGGAACAAATCTACCGTCTTTCGTAATGCCTTTGAAGGTGTTGATACCATCATCAATTGCGCGCTCAATATCATCCATATAATTCTCGGTCGAACCACGCACAAGCACGGTGCTGACGCGGCTCTCTGTTCCCTCCAGTTTAAACACTACCACTATAGTGTCTCCCAATTCGTCTATGTATACCGTATCGGCATATCCCAACTCTTCTTTCGACGGAGGTACCTTTAAAATAAATTATTGATTATTGTAATAGAATATTTTAAAACATTAGGTCTGTTTTTCATTTGAGCACTATACTGTACTAACACCAATACTCATGGTAAGTTCTTATAATGAAGACAGTCTTAAGTATAATCTTCAGATATCATTATTTAATCACAGGGCTATATTAGTATCTTAAAACATTACTTAAATCAGTCTTGAAATAAGAATAGACTGTGAATACCGGCCTTAAATTTTCTTGCTTTTATCAAATATCAGACATATATTTATTTTACTTTAAATTTCAAAAATATACACTAATTAAGCTATAGAAAATAGACCTCTAATTGCATATATATCAGATGAAGTTATGCAAAATACTAAAATGTCTAACGGAATTGAGATATCAGGGCCAATAAATTTACCAGTTTTGACAGCGCAGTAGCACCGACGGTCTTGCAAAGTCGCCTGATGTCAAACTTGCTTGGGATACGAACAGCCATCAGATTATACTTGTTCATATAGTGCAGGGCCATGTTACCGAATTTTCCACCTGACACAACAACTTTGGCGCCACTAGAAGCGATTGCCTTGATCTGGTTTTCTAACAGCGATTCCTCACCACGCGAAAATTTCAATAACTCATCGGCTGTTTTAATCAGCACTGTACCTTTGGTCTCAGTCTGAATAACATCTACAGCGCAAGTGTATACCACAATCTTTGCTTCGGTTTGCTTTGTGACATCTCCTTCCACTTGACGCTTGAATACCATGCCTTGCATTACTTGAGAGTTACTTAAACCACCCCCGAGTATTTTGCAAACTCGTATGTTGTCAACGTTAAATGTTGTCTTCTCTGGCAAAATAGAGATACAAGCCTTGGTGACGAAAGAAGCAAGGATATCCTCGTTTCCATACTGCTTGCTCATAATTGTGCTCCTGATTCCTTTCTTCACTTGTTCCTCGTCTCGTACATCTTTTACTTCATGAACAATTAGAGTCGGTAAAATTTCAAGTGCTTTATTCAAGACATTCTCATAACCTTCAATAATCTCTGAAGTTGTGATACCCTGTAATAAAAAAATTAAAATATAATTTATTTCTATTAAATGCACATATTTATCATATTTCTGGAAAAATATTTTATATTTCAAATAAAAAAGTGAATACTTTACTGGTACATCGATGTAATCAAATATTATAAAGCAACTTACCAGACGAAGTAATCCTTCTGCTGCATGAAGCAATTCTCCAGCAAAGATGATAACAAAATTTGTTCCATCTCCTACTTCAGCTTCTTGCATTTTTGATGCCAAGACTAATAACTTGGCAGCTGGATGCTCCACTTCTAATTCATTGACGATTGTCACTGCATCATTTGTTACAAACAGCTTCTCAATATGATTAATGACCATTTTATTCATGCCATTAGGACCATATGCACTCCTTACAGTATCAGCAAATTGTTTGCAAGCTGTAATATTCCTGTAAACTGCTTCTTCGAGACCCGAAAAGTACTAAAAACATAAAATAACAAATTTATCAAAATCAAGCGGCCAAGCTGATTTTGATAAGTAAAAAAAATATAATTTTCCATCTTGAACAATTCTTATATATATATAAAATATTGACGTCACACTCAAATAACCTATTCTTAATATTTTATTTTCTAAAACAAGGCATAAACAGTGCAAAAAGTTAAAATCTTCATTTTTCTATGCATATAAAACTTGTATAAATTTTCAAAAGTCTTAACAACGTATACACATACGTACAAAAGTGATTCATTCTCAATATATTATTTAGTTTGATTTTCTAAAATAAGACAAGACATAGGTATAGTTTAATGTAAGTCGCCTTTTGCTCATATTGAAGATTCTCGAGTACTCCGAATTCCTAAAATATCCATAAAAGGCAAGAACAAGAGCCGATCCCTTCCTCGTGTATCTTTCTCCGGGAGCAAGCGTCGTCAACGGAATCGCGAGCCGGTTCATCGCATGCATAATCGTGAAATGAAATGTCACTTACACGAGCCCCATCCTTAAGCATCTGCGCCACGCCAGGCGCCTTCGGTACGTGCATAGCCATTTTCGTTGGAGATTTCGAAAAACCGTCTCTTCGTGTGACACCACGTTTTCTCGTTTCGTTCTAAACAGGATGGAAATTGGTGGAGATGGACTAGGATGACCAATCTTCCATATTATGAACGAGACATTGAAAAAAGCGCCTCTAGTAGAAACTGAAGTCAACTAAATCAATGTGGTGTCTCCTATATATTATTATTGTTATTATTTAAGATGCCTTTTCAAAATGAACCACATAAAAATTAAAGATACTCAATCATTGAAGAATATTGGTGTCAATTTTAATCACGTGATCTTTTTGACGCTATGAATGAAAACCGAGCGTTTTAATGAAATTATATTTGTTGCACTTTATATTTTGTATCTGATACATATCGTATTTTTGTTTCGTATAATCCTCCCTCTTTTATTTTTCTGTAATTTTATAAATTGTGTATTTGCGTAAAAATATATTTCGAGAAGGGAAATCATTGCTCAAGTTTTGTTCCTTTTTTTTAATTTCAAAGATTTTTTTACTACATAATAAATTTTTTGTCTACATAAAAAAAATAGAAAAGATATAAATTTTGAATCATAATACAAACTTCTCTGTTATAATTTATTAGTACTGTTTGAAGTGTATAGATTTACAGGCTTTCATGAAAACGGACGTTTGCGCGGCTCGTTATTCTGATTTTGAACAGCCATAAAAAAAATCCCGCGATAACCTACAACCTACTGTTGGCATTTATCTCGCATAACCTTTCGTGCTTATTATACAATTTATTATATCTTTGCATTAATGTCAATGAATTGAATTATGATATATATTTCTTTAGACAAATTTTAAAAGCTTTCTAGATATCTGAAGATATTCAAGGTACATCATTCTGTTCTTCTTAACGAATGTTTCAAAAGTCCTTGACAAGTCACGTCTTCCTATGTTTTAGAATTTATCAGAAGGGATTATCGTTTGAGGAACGTAGCGAAAGTACACCGAAGCCGCGGCATGACGAATACTGGAGGTAAAGTAGTCGCCAATCTGCGACAAAAGTTCATGTCGCCAAAGGTGTTGCGATGGTTTCCTGGGCATATGACGAAGGGTCTAAAACAGATGCAGCAGCGATTGAAAAAGATCGATTGCATCCTAGAGGTTCACGACGCTCGGGTACCGATCTCTGGACGTTATGCAGACTTTAGCAGGACTTTGACCGGCTTGAAGCCACACATACTTGTACTAAACAAAAAAGATCTAGCCGATGAGAGATACACAGACAGTATAGTCTCTACGTTGAACAAAGAAGGACTGTCCAACATAATCTTTACAAACCTGAAAAATCAATATTGCAAAGGCGTGAAGCAGATTTTACCTCTAGCCAAGAAGTTGATATTAAATTCACAACGTTACAATAGAATGGAAGAAGAGTCTTTCTCCATGATGGTCATTGGTGTACCCAATGTTGGAAAATCCTCTCTGATTAATTGTTTGAGAAACAATAATCTTCACCTTTCGGGCAAAGCTACTCCTGTTGGCGCAACGGCTGGTGTCACTCGAGCCGTATTGACTCGTATAAAAATATCAGAGGAGCCTTTAATGTATCTGATTGATACCCCGGGTATCCTAGTTCCTTCCATTAATGACATTCATGCTGGTTTTAAGCTGGCTTTAGTGGGATGTCTGCAAGATCATGTAGCAGGATCGCATCTGCTTGCAGATTATCTACTATATTGGCTGAATAAAAATGGCAGATTTGAATATGTAGAGAAATTAGGTTTGCTAGAACCAAATGACAATGTGTCATATGTACTCACGTTTATTGCTGCAAAGTTCGAAAAAACCATGAGAATAAAATCCTATAACAATCAGAAACAAGTCATGCCAGATTTAAAATTCGCAGCGGACTACTTTATTAGTTCATTTAGGAAAGGAGACTTTGGATTCTATTGTTTAGATATAGATTTACTAGAAACCTCACAAAATTGGAAAGTTAGTTTAGCGTAATAATAATTGTCTATGTAAATATTGTATATTTATTTATACAAATAGTTTTTAATTAAATACAAGTCTTTGTAATTTTACATGACATCTGATATTTGAATGATCCTAAATGATAAAATAACCTTGAGGAAGTTACTTTTCCGCTACATCACATTATTTTTTTAAATAAAATTGAATAACATCGATTATTATTAAGATACTGAATTTTATTTTGAATTTCTTGTCTAAAAAAATTCTTTTATCATAAATTAACAAACTGATAAATGTAAGTAATCGTTAGATAAAAAAAGAGCATAATTGCATCAGATATTGTCCCCACCAGTTTTACGTCCTGTTACTTTCTGTAACTGCTTTCCACGAAAGTAGGACAATCGTTTACTACGTCTGGAAGACTCTTCTTCCATGTCTTCGTTCATTCATTGTGTTACCTTTAAAATCTACACGGGAACATATTGTACTATATTATTTTATGACATGAAATAATCGAGCAATTAAATGGACTGACCTATTTAAAAGATCGTTATATCAATATCGCGGGGAATCTCACAAAAGCCTGCAAACAAACTTTCTTTAAATTTTTCAAACTCTCAAAGGCATTTGAATCGTCACTTGAGCTAACGCTTCTCTCGGAATTGATTTTTAGCAAAAATGTTTGCGAGGGTAACGTTTTATCCAACCTTGCTTTATAACGTCGTTATGGAAAAAATTACGACTCGGAATTGGTACGATAGAATAGATGAGACTGTTATATTGGGCGCCTTACCATTTCGACGAACAACTAAACAGGTATGGTTTAGTAAATTTATTTTTGTAACAAAATTATAAATCAAAATATTTTATATATATTATACAAAATCACAGTAATATCTTGCATTTATGCCTTCACAGTTTTTTATGTTTTTCTTATATTATCTTATTTTATCTGCGTTTATTTTTTAATAATGTCATAAAACAGACATTATTACAATATTTAATGTTTTAGTTTAAAAATGATTTTTAATTTTAGTCTATAATACCTATATTCTTCTATGTAATAATATACATTAAGAATATGTTAGAAAACATATCAATTATTTAAACAAATAAAGTTCATGCGACAACCATTAAATTACACATATTCAAGTAGTGTTATACAATTTATATTTTACACTTCTTTTTACTTTCAGTTGATAGACGATGAAAATATAAAAGCTGTTGTGTCTATGAATGAAGATTACGAATTGTCTTTATTGTCAAACACGGAAAAGGTATGTGGTTAAATAAAATTTAAATTTAGAAAATGAACTAATATGTTGAAAGCTAGTGCAAAATGGAAATATATATAGCTTGATATAATAATACTTCTTTTCTCCATCTAGGAATGGCGCAGGTATAACATAGAATTTCTACAGTTGTCTACAACAGACATCTTTCAAGCACCTTCGCAGGAAAAATTACAGGATGGTGTAAACTTTATTAATAAATTCCGCAATGTATCAGATAAAAAATTAGATAATCCAGGTACCGGCAATAATCGCAAACAACATGGTACAGTTTATGTTCATTGTAAAGCAGGAAGAACAAGAAGTGCAACATTGGTCGCGTGCTATTTAATAACAGTGAGATCATATGGCATAATTTCAATGCAAAACTAAGAGATTTTTAGTCATTAGGTGGTGAAATATTCTTTTCGTTTTTCTAGAAAAATAATTGGACTCCTGAAGAAGCGGTTGATTATATGCGAACGAAAAGGCCACATATATTGCTTCATACAGCACAATGGTCTGCGCTCAAGCAATTTTATGCGAAACATGTACAGCCTACGTCTTAGCTAAAACTTTTTTATATATTTGTTGATGTTACTTTATATAAATGAAAAGTATAAATAGATAAATAAAGACTAATTTATTTAGATACTACGCTAAATTACGTATATATCCATTCAAATAGAAAGAGTGAAGAGATAAAATGCAGTATAAAATAAATCGTTCACTGATTTTTATTATTAGTAAGCTCAACTTTTTTTACGTGCGCAGATGCAAATTTGGTAGCCTCTGTAATTGCTTCTTCCATACGTATCTGAAAATCCTGTGATACTTTTGTAGATTTCATACTTGCGACCAATATAGGTTTGAATCCCTTGATAGGTCCATACTCTGCATTAAAAATTTGAAGGATGATATTCATCCAAGTTCGTGCATTAAATGCACTAGAAGCTATTTCCTAAATACAATAATAAGAGTTTTTTTAAATTGTTTACGTTTTGATATATATATATATATGATCTATGTTGAAATGTATATGTACAAACATATGAATAAAATATACCCGTGGCATGGAACATCTTGCTTTTACGACTCCATTTGTACATGACAGAACCAAAATTGGCATCTCAGAAAAGAGAGATACAACTTCATGCAATGACAAATATGTAGGATTTTTATTCAGACAATACACAATAAAACAAGATGACGAATCCATGGCATCAATGATTTCACGAGTTATAGAATCTCTATTAAAAATTATTATTAAGTATTATTCACAATTAAATAGATTACTTATGTAGTATGTGTATATAATATTACATACTTTTCAATTTCTTTCTCTCGCAGCCATGCTATCTTGCTTAAATTCTCCAGCTGTGTCAAACATTTGTCTTTAATCAAGTAAGGTAATGGTACTTGTATATCCTGAGCATTAATTTCTTGTTTTATTCGATTTAATTCTGTATTAAATAGCTCATATGTGAATTTGCCACTTCGTAAAACGTCTTCTAACTCTGCAATCCTTTGACATATATTTTCACCGGCTTGTTTCATACGTAGAGCTCCCGGACCAACAACAGCCTTAATAGTGCGTTTTGTTGCTCCCTTTGAGGTATATGTTAAAAAACAGAAGTGTTGCAGTACATCAGTATTATGTACATGCGTACCGCAACATGTTTCCCTAAAAATACATCATTGATATTAATATAAAGTTTAGTTCAGAAAATTTGATGTTTAAAATTCAGATTCACTAACTTTGCTCTTAAATCATTAGTATTAATTTCAACGATTTTAATGTCTGTGTAAGGATATATCTCTCCTGGAAGTAACATAACATCATTTTGCTTTAACAGTTCGAGCGAATTCACAGTTTGCACAGTCGTTACAGCATGAGACTGTATGACATTGTTAATACAATCTTCTATTGTCTCCATTTGTTCTAATGTAAGTTGTTCGCCTAACGAATTGAATTGAAATTTTAAACTATCCATATTGACTGTACATCCACGTTGATAAATTACTTGCATAACTTGCTTTAAGGCTGCATTTAATAAATGTGCTGCTGTATGATGTTTCATCGCTCCGATACGAATATTTGATTCTATATTGACTAGACAATCATCGTTTATTTGTAAATGCAGTTCCGATATACTAGAAAACAGATTTGTATATTGATTATGAACTTTTTACAATTAAATTAAAACATAATTATATATATATATATATATATA